AAAAAAATTATATTATTAAACCAAATATAAATTATTTCGTTATTGTACATAAATTAAGTTATAAAAAATTTGAATTAAAAAATTACACAAAAAAATGAGGAATTTCAAATTTAATTTGATACTAATATCGATATATTTTTGTCAAATTTTTATGATATCTTCAAACATATATTTTATTCAAAGATAAAAACATCATCGTTTTCTCAAAATCACATAAAGTCATATTATAATATYGACTGAGATAAAGAATAAAATGAAATATTAAAATCACGATGTATCTCGTTGCATTGTGCAAGTACGCTTCTAGTAATTAAATAATTGTTCTAATTATATATAGTCACTACAATATAATCGGGTTTACAGGACACTCCCGAATTCTAAGTGTCCTAAAAGACCTTTTTATAGGACTTAGTTTATAGGAACATAAAAATAAAATATCATATCTAAAGGTGTTGTAATAAGTTTATATGACGTTTTTGACGTCGTAATAAGTTTTTTAGGACATTTTTAATATAAAACGTCTCATTATCAACTTTATAGGACACTATTTGAAAAACTGTCCTATAAAAATTGAGTTTATAGGACACTTTCTCAAAAGTGTCCTATAAAGTTGCTAATTCGACACTTTATATTAAAAATGTCCTAAAAAACTTGTTAAGACGCTCAAAAGCGTCATATAAACTTATTACAACACTTTTAGATAGGACGTTTTATATTTTAGTCCTATAAATTAAGTCCTATAAAACGGTCTATTGGGACGCTTAGAGATTGAGAGTGTTCTATAAACCCAATTTTGTTGTAGTGAGTTAGTTACACGGATTTAAACATGAAATTTAATAAGTTGTACTTACACATAATTACTTGTAATCTTGAATTTTAAGTAATATGCATCAATAAGCAGTACTTCATGTATAAAAAGATGATTTTTAAGAGTTTTTGTTGAATGTTTTATAATATAGTATAGTTGGTATATATGAAAACTTATGTCAATTACGAAAAATTTGTTGACCTATATGTACAATTGGTATAAATATGAACACATATTGACCCAAATAAACATACGAAAAATAATGAACATGTGTGACCATATGAACACAAATTCACATATATGAACATTCGTACAATATTGTAATCAAATTCACTTTTTAGGTAGGTTTAGTTTGTTGGAGTGGGATTTGAATTTGTGAAAAAAATATGAATTTGGAAGGATTTTAAATCTCTCGATTGTTTGGGAATGAAATTGCAAATCTTATTCAATCCTACAAAATCAAAATCAAAATCAAAGGAAAGCACCACGTGTTTGATTTTGGAATTGAAATTTTCTCAAAGTTTAGATTTAATTAGTTTTTCACATACTAATAAATTTTCTTTTTGAGCGACTTTATTTCTATATAATAATAAACAAATCAAAATATTTGTATTAGTGATTACATTAATTTTTATTTTTTTAAAAACATTTCCAATACATTCTCTAAAAAAATGTGAACCTTTTAAAAATTTTAAGCAAATTTTTTGTTTCAAAAAGTTCTCCATAACATTAAAAAAAAAAAAAGTGTGAAATTATCTAAATCTGAACAACTCTTCAAAAATAATTACTATTAAAAACATATATTCTTACCAATTAAAAAACTTAAAATTAAATTTTAAAAGATATAAATAATATTTTATTAAATATATGAAACACTAACCTTTTAATAAAGAAATACAACTTTTTAAAATACTTAAATGTAAAATTTTATTTTTTTAAGATATTTTAATAAAGTACTGGAAGAGTACTCGCGCAATGTAGCAACGCACATCTCAATTTTAATGTTCCATTTTATTCGTTATCTTTATCGATCTAATACGGTTTGATGTGATTTTAATAATACGATAATGTTTTTATTTTTGAGTAAAATATAAATTTGAAATATCATAAAAATTTGAAAAGATTATATCGATATTAGTATCAAATTAATTATTTAAAAGTTCTTGTTTTTTGTGTAATTTTTTAGTTTGATTTTTTGTTATAATTTAATTTAGACTTAATAATGAAGTAATTTTTTTTGGTTTAATAATATAATTTTTATAAAGATAATAATTAAGTATTATGTTAGAACTCAATGATTATATTTTAAATTTTTTGTATTTAAAATTATATGTTTATCTTGTATTTGACTATGTTTATTTGCAGTTAGTTACACGAATTCAAACATAAAGCTTTAATAAGTTGTAGTTACGCACAATTTATTTGTAATCTTGAATTTTAAGTAATATGCATCAATTAACATAAAAAAAGATTTTTATCAAATATTTTATAATATAGTATAGATATTGAACATCAAAACACGCATGCACACTCTCTTTATATATATATATATAAATTAAAACAATTACTATTCATATCCTTTTTACTTGCATACATAATTCACTTTCTTCTTGTATAGATAGAATATGTAATATATGAAGCAAATATTATTTGCTTTAATTATTCATTCATTCATGTATCTAAAAAAAAATTATGTAATTAATGTTAAAAAGTCAAAGTAGGGAATGTTAATGTATGGCGCATGCAATGCAGTGGACGTGGCAAATAGAGTCATACGTGGAGGGATGCCACATCAGCAGGCCTTTTGACAGAGTGTGTGAGACGTTCAGAGCCACAGGCACGCCTCCTTCTCTCCCCCCTCCCTCTAAAATTAACTCCACTAATTATCTTTCAATATCCTTTTAATTATTATATATTTTATCATCAGTCTATGGTTTTTAATTATATATATATTATGTTGTATAAATTCAATCAAAGAAATTAATCCTTTTGGATTCCAACTTAATTTAACCATATATATACACATAAAATTAACATCCCCTAATTAAAACCTTATCAAATATATATATATATATATATATAGAGAGAGAGAGAGAGAGAGAGAGTTGGGTTGGGACTTGGGATCATGTGTTCCTCATCATCCACTAATTATCGTTTGTGTTTCTTTATATTTTAAACTTTTAAAGATTTGTATACACAAATTTTGTTGACATAAGATTTTCTACCAGTTAATCCGCACTAACAACGAATATATATAACGTTAACATGAATCAAATCAAAGTTATTTTATCCAATGAATAATAATCATATATTAAAATAAGGAATATTGAGTAAAACACAAACGTTATAAAAATATTATTTTTTATTTATTTGCATCCTAAGATATTCATACATACAAATAAATTACTAAAATATATCATGCATCTATCTTTCACTCTATTCCAAAATAAGGAATAATATATTTATGGAATTATATTAATATTAAAAATATATTTATCTGTAAAAAATCTTTATATAATCAGGTTAATTAATATATAAAAAAAACATCAACACTTGTTTTCTAGTCGTAAAAAGCAAATAGGAAAAAAGAAAAAGAAAAAGAAAATAAGAAAATAAAAGAATGTTCTCACACCTATGTATGTATATATAAACACACAACGGACTAGGAAGACTGTCACACATCATATCTCAAAGTAAGTGAACTTTCTAAAATGGCTTCAAAAGCCGATGCTACCCACAAACAGGCGGAAGAGCAAGAGATTCTGCCACCGGAATGTATGGTGGAGGAGGTGGCGTTAGTAGTGCCTGAAACCGACGACCCATCACTACCGGTGCTGACATTCCGAGCATGGACTCTGGGACTGGCGTCAAGCACCCTTTTAATATTCCTAAACACTTTCTTCATATATCGAACACAGCCTTTAACCATATCGGCGATTCTGATGCAAATTGCGGTTTTGCCAATCGGCAAGTTCATGGCTGCCACCTTGCCCACCAAGGAGTATCGGTGGATGGGTTATAGCTTTAGCCTCAACCCAGGTCCATTCAACATGAAGGAGCACGTGATTATCACTGTGTTTGCCAACTGTGGAGTTTCGATGGGTGGAGGTGATGCTTATTCCATTGGAGCCATTACAGTTATGAAAGCTTATTATAGACAAAGTTTGAATTTCCTTTGTGGCTTGCTTATTGTCTTGACTACTCAGGTATATATCTTTAACCTTCAGTTGATGAAATATTATGGTTTTTCTTTTCTTAATTGATTAAAGATTTGAAAGATCGATCGAAGCACAAAACAAACACTTTGTATATATATATATATATAAGAGGGTTTCTTGCTTGTTTCTTTATAATCATGAATGAATTGATATCAATGGGATTTTGAAAAAAGAATTTAATTTGTTCTACGACAGATGGTGGGATATGGATGGGCAGGGATGTTGAGGAGGTATTTGGTTGATCCGGTGGAAATGTGGTGGCCTGCAAACCTTGCTCAGGTTTCTCTCTTTAGGTTCGTTTTCTTATGATTCATCCAGTTATATATACAATATATATATATATATATATATATGCTTCGATATAGAATGGAATTTGATGTTATATATATATATATAAAAGTAAGTTCAGTTCAAATCATTTTCAACACTAAAAGTTATTAAATATACAAGAATTTGACTGATTCATTAATTCAGTTCCTTCACCTTTGAGTTCCTTATCTTGTTTATATAGTTCTTTCAAGCAGCTAGCTTTCATTTAAAAATTGATTTCTTCAGAAAGCATGGGTGCTTTTCCTGTTTTAACTTTAATAACTAGGGTATTCTTGATGATCACAAAGGGCCAAAGAATATGTTTCTAATCAATGGTGCCATCTGAGAATGTCAGCGATTCTAATCGAAAAGTAACCAAAAAAAAATGTTGTTCCATTCTCCACAAAGATCGACAAATTGAGCAAGAATTTCAAACTCTTTTTAAAAGTAATATCAAATACAGTAATTCGAATCTATTCGTGTTCCTCAAAAGTGTTAATTATATTCCTACCACTGTTTCAGAGCACTGCACGAGAAGGAGACGAAAGCACAAGGGATGACAAGAATGAGATTTTTCATGATTTTCTTGATTGCCAGTTTTGCATATTATGCATTTCCTGGCTATATTTTTCCAATCCTCACTTTCTTTTCATGGGTGTGTTGGGCTTGGCCGAACAGCATAACTGCACAGCAGATCGGTTCTGGCTACCATGGCTTGGGAGTAGGCGCCTTCACCCTCGATTGGGCAGGCATTTCAGCCTACCATGGAAGCCCACTGGTCACACCTTGGACTTCTATCGTCAATGTTGGAGTTGGGTTCATCATGTTTGTCTACATAATCGTTCCTATTTGTTACTGGAAGTTCAACACATTTGATGCCCAAAAGTTCCCCATATTCTCTAATCAGCTATTCACAGGCACTGGCCATAAGTATGACACCACTAGAATCTTGACCCCTCAGTTCGATCTCAACATTGCTGCATATGAGAGTTATAGTAAGCTCTACTTGAGTCCACTCTTTGCACTTTCGATTGGATCAGGATTTGCCAGGTTCACAGCCACCCTCACACATGTCGCCCTATTTCATGGCGGGTATGTAATTCATCAAAAGCTAGCTAAAAGTTTTTCGCTTGGTTGAATATGATTGTATTTAAGGTTTTATATATAATGTGTAGGGATATATGGAAGCAGAGTAAATCTGCAGCAAAGAATGTGAAAATAGACATCCATGCAAAGCTGATGAAGACTTATAAACAAGTTCCTCAATGGTGGTACCTTGTGTTGTTAGTGGGGAGCATTGCTTTATCGCTTGTAATGTGTTTTGTTTGGAAAGAAGATGTGCAACTCCCGTGGTGGGGTTTTCTCTTCGCTTTTGCCTTGGCTTGGATCGTTACCCTCCCTATTGGAGTCATTCAGGCAACGACCAACCAGCAACCTGGATATGATATCATCGCACAGTTCATAATTGGTTATGTTTTGCCGGGAAAGCCCATTGCAAATTTGCTTTTTAAGATCTATGGGAGAATCAGCACCATTCATGCTCTCTCCTTTTTATCTGACCTTAAGCTCGGTCACTACATGAAAATCCCACCTCGATGCATGTTCACAGCTCAGGTATGGATGCTGCTGCTAACAAAACCATGGACAGTGATCGAACCATATATGTTTATTGGATATTTTGAGTTGGACTAATATGTTAATTAATTGGTTTTTAATGTTCTCAGTTGGCAGGAACTCTAGTTGCAGGGACAGTGAATCTTGCGGTTTCATGGTGGATGTTAGAGAACATTGAGAACATTTGTGATATCGAGGGTCTTCATCCAGAGAGTCCATGGACATGTCCCAAATTCCGAGTTACATTTGATGCTTCTGTTATATGGGGACTCATTGGACCACAACGACTGTTTGGACCTGGAGGTTTGTACAGAAACCTTGTGTGGCTGTTTCTAGTTGGAGCATTTTTGCCTGTGCCTGTTTGGATCTTGAGCAAGATTTTCCCTGAAAAGAAATGGATTCCCTTGATTAACATCCCTGTTATATCTTATGGTTTTGCTGGGATGCCACCGGCAACTCCTACAAACATTGCAAGCTGGCTTATCACTGGAATGATATTTAACTACTTTGTGTTCAAGTACCGGAAACAATGGTGGCAAAAGTACAACTACGTCTTATCAGCTGCACTCGATGCTGGGACAGCTTTCATGGGTGTGGTGTTGTTTTTTGCACTTCAGAACGAGGGGGTTGATTTGAAATGGTGGGGATCGAAGCCGGATCACTGTCCTTTAGCAACTTGCCCAACAGCACCAGGGATTAATGTTACAGGATGCCCAATTTTCTAGGGGCGAAATTGTAAAAGTTGAATAAGAGATATGGGTATTTGTTTGTTTGTATGGTTACTCATCAATTTTGTTAGCTGAATGTGGTCTAACCATTTGCTGAACATGTTCCATTGGTAGAAATCTGTGGTTCCAATTTGATTTCGAAAAGGCATCGTTGCACAATTTCCAATTTCTTTCTGGTTTTGAGATGAGTTTTTGGATTCATTGGCGTTGAAATATGTATCAAAGAAGAATACCAAAAAAAATGAAGGGGAAGTGAAAGTGGCTACTAAAGAAGATGAATATAAGCATTGTGCCAAATTAAGCTCTACTCCCTGAGGCTGTTTCTTGAGTTGTTTGCTTCATGTTAGCTATTAGGGAGAGTATGAATTACATATAAAGGGGAATAAAGTGCATTTGTTGTCACCGTTGTATGGGCTTGTAGAGTACGACTGTCACATACTTGGATAAGAAACGGTTGGTAGAACCAAGGGCGACGATTGAAGTGCTACTCCTTCCTTTCTGCATATAAAGATGGTTGAGAACGACATGCTGAGGTCTAGAGAAAGGGGACGGGATCTCCATGTGAGGTGAGGGAACGTTAAGCAATGTCATTTGGAGATGTGGTGGAACCAATGGCGGCTCCTTAGCGTAATCCTCATTGTCAAGCTGCAAATGATTGTAACTTGAATCCGGGGACCCAGGAGGTTCAAAACCAGAGATGCTTTGAATGTCTTCAGGTACATATTCCTGCACCATATTCCAAACGATTCAAAGATTTTAGAATAATCACACACCTTTTTTCACCAAGAAGACCAAGATGGGATAACAACAGGAAACTAACATTCTTAACACAAAACAAACAACTTCTTTTCTTACGGGAACAAAACCAAACTCCAATTCACTTGGAATGTGAACCGTAGCTTTGTTGGGGTTTGAAAGAAACATATCTGGACCCTACATTATGAGTGATCTTGACCTGAAAAAGATATCCACTTCTTGGTGAGCCTAGTCAAAAGCTTCTCGATTCAAGCCTCACCATTTTGCCAATCAAATGAAGGGGAGAGAATAGACTAAACAGATATCAAGAAACTTTCAAAGACAACAAACCATTTATCCAGAACTAGTTCCAGCCATATCTACAAAAGTTAAGCCACAGTAACATAAAACATAGGATATTTGGAATCTGCAGGAAATCTAGCTCAAAAAAGTCATGGTCGTTCTTGGTAAATTAAGTTCCAAGGTTTTCCCCATTAGAGTCACCGAAGTATGACCTTTTTCATAAGAGAAAACATTCTATTCCACAAAAATTGCTATTACATTAAGCCCAATCTTGACTAAAAACCCGACTTTTGCATGAATTCCATTCAACACCAACAGCAGGGCATCACATGATAAAAAGAGCCATAACTTAGCTGCTATCAACTTTCTTTCGGACCCAAACACGTAAGAAGCTTCAACGCTTCATTGCTTCGTGTGTCACCTGCAAGACCATGAAATGGTCCACATAACCATCTGTTGGACTATTACAACCCTTGTCGATTCCAAACTGGTTATGGAACAGATGATGGATTTCACCACTTATATACCACATTCAAATGGTTATGCAGTACTCATGGTTGTAGTCGATTGATTGACTGAAACAACTCATTTTGGGGCATTACTAACAAGCTATGACGAACCAAAAGCAGATGCACATTTGGGAACGTAGTGGTTAAGTCGAGTCGATCCCACCATTATGAGCTCCTTTTGGACAAAACCTTTTCGGCTTAGTGGCACCAACCTTGAGAGAAGCACGAGATACCATTCACAGACCAACGGTGAAAGGTAGCAACCCTGGGCTTATAGGTTTAGAGCAATATCTTCATGCATTCACAAACACTAGACCTTCAAAATGGTTCAACTGTGTGAAAACGAGTCACCTTGAAGGACTCAAAATGATGTCATTTCAAGCATTATATGGCAGACTGCTACCCACCATCCCCCACTACACAAGAGATGAAACAAAAATGGTAGCTACAAATGACCAATTGCAGGATCAAGACAAATTGATCAAGAAATTATGTACTATGGCCAATGTGCAAACCTAAGCGTTGAGAGGTGACCTTTGAGGTAGGAGACTGCTCCCACTTAAAAAAGAGATGCCAGCTGAGAACACTGGTACTATCAAGGAGTATTTTAAACATCCAAAAGTAAGTCACCCTTTACTCCTAAAGAAGATGTAGCACATTGGACATGAAATTGGCTATTCTACAGTGAGTACAGTTACATTTTGAGCTGAAGAGGATGTCAATCAATTCAAGCAAAGGCGTTCCATAATGCCTCCAAATCTTATCACAAACGTTGGTTCTATCTTAAAATGTAAGTACGTTATTAAAGACATATAGGAGAAGATGAATAAATTTTTACAAAGGGACTTGAATAGCGATCACCTATTTATTTAAATCAATTTAAGATAAATTCTGCAAAATTGTTAAGTGGCTTATGCTCAAGAATGAACTCAATATAATTCCATTAATATTTTCAAATGTAAATTATTGAATTCTCAAAATGTTCAAATCTTGATTGCAAAAAGACAGATCCATGTACAGATATGAAGAAGCTACCAGCTTACTGGATATCTATTTGCAAAGAGGAGGACCTTCCATTTTAGTTTAAAGAAAAGTACTTTGTAAGCATTTACTACCAAAAAATATGCTCTCCTAGCCATAGTTGTTGTGAAAAAGGGTGCAAACATAAGCCCAAACTTTGCATGCAAATATAAATAACCAAACCAAACCAAACCAAACCAGTAAACCCCGCAGGTAGGGTCGAGGGGGTAAGATGTATGTAGACCTTTCGCTACTCCAAGGGGTAGGGAGAGATTGTTTCCATGAAAACCCCTGGCTTGTAAAACAAAAGAAAAATGTAAAAGAAACATGAGAGCAAGCTACAGGAAACACAAAACTCAATATTGACAACCACTAATACAGAAAAAAGAACTAATACTAGCATACAGTAGGCAGGTCACACACGTAGAAACAATAGTAGACATAATAAGTAGGAAAAATTAATGCATCCTTCTGACGGACATAAGACTCTGGTAACCTAATTGCTACCGTGCTACCCCTCCTCTTGTCTCACCCTCAAACAAATGATACCTACCCCTCCCCCTGACACCTTTTGCAAATACAAATGATAATTATTATTAAAGCAAGTAAATCTACATCAACGTAAGTTGCCAGTATTAGGCCTTACTGATCCTTTTTTTTTTTTTTTGAAGTATATAATATTTATATAGGGCAAATAGAATAAATAAACTCACACACCCTCCTAACTTTTGGTGAGGTTTGAACCCTTGACCTCCTAGGAGGCCAAGGACTCACATACCGCTAGGCCAAAGGCCCTTTGGTGCCTTACTGATCTTTACTGACATGGAAATGTAGGTAAGAGATTGGACGGGAAGTACCTGTAGATCTAAGATGTTACAAGTGTTTCCTGCTTCATCCTGTGTCCATGGCATGTCAGGGGAATACCTCCACTGTCCATCAACAATAAATCTGTACTGGTAAACACCCGAGGGAAGAACTTTTAATATTGTGAAGTCTTTCCCTGATCTCTGCAAGGACTTTCTGTTCAAAAAGAGCATATCAAAGACTTGCATGTTAGATCATATATTCATCCATCCTAAAGCTTTTAAACAAGAAACATGAGAAGCAGATAAACAAAAAGTTGGCATTACCTTGATTTCCAGTTGTCCCATGACCCCTCCACAGCCACTTCCTTGCCATCATAGCTCCAAGTGATCATTGTTGGAATTCCTTGTTCACTGGTCATTTCCTCATAGCCAGAGGAGGAATGCATCCATGGATTGCTTGGCTGGATATCATCAGGTCTTTGTAAAGGAGCCACAGGGTCCTGAAACAAGACAGGATATCAGACCCTCAGAGAGTTGAAAGTTCTTCGGGAGAAATCAACTTAACCTTGCAGACTTGCTTCATTTGTTGCCTAATATGATCTCTACAGGAATTTAATATAGGTTTTGGCATATTTCGGCATAAAACTGTATGCAACATGAATTTCTTTTCTTTACATGCAAACAGATAATCAGGAAATGGCATGAGGAAATGCAACACCATTAAAGTACTCTCCATCCCAAACAAAGACTTTCTTTTTAACAACTCAATAACCAAATATGCATTTTCAGAAGGAAAAAGAAAAGCAAAAAGAAGCAGAGGGGAATATAACATAGCAAATTGGCAACCAAATCTTAGAAATGTATGGGAAAGAACACTCCATTCGAAAGTATGAGAGGGCGTAAATCAATAGTAACAAGAATGAGGAGAATGTTGAGATTTTGGGATATAAAGCAGTAAATCGCTATTTTTTTTCCAAATACAACTGGCTCTCTATTCCTCATTCCTCTCTTTCCTTTCTTCGCCTCTAGGTGCCACACATGGGCATGGCAATTATAAAGGTTTTCCCTTTTTTTAACAACTCTCTGGACATTGTGTAAAGAAACTATTGCCTTGTAAAAGTATTCTAGTAAAATAAGATATCTTTTATTGTATAGCAAAAGCAGAAAGTCATTACCACACAAGCTCCTGGCTTGCTAGATTTTGGTACAAGAACTTTAGGGGAGAGAAGGATTAGGGGAGAGAAGGATTAGGTTATTTGATTAGCTAAAAACATGTTAGCTACGGACTTTGCACATTTATTGTGGAACCATAGTAAAGCTCATATATCTCTTATATGCATGTGAAGAAAAGCATATGTTAAGCCAATAGAGCCAAGCTGAAAAATAATGAATATCTGAATACAGAATTATATTCACCTAAGTCATGGCAGCATAGAGTCATAAGAATTTGGTGTTAATATACTGCATATTCTAGCAATAAGTTCAAACCACCAACAAGACATCAGCTGAATGTCACAAATCGTAACTGCTGATCAAATTCACATAACAGCAAGTCATATTGATAATGTTATCCAGCTAGACAATCTATGATAAGCTTAGATACATTAAAAAAAAGCTGATTATGGAGTTTGTTATGCTAAGCTAACAATATCTCCATACACACACCAGAAGCAATTAAATTTCACATCTTATATACTGATTTTATTAGTTATAACCTGAACAGTATGCGCATTTCAACTAAACCAATAAAACAGAAGAAGAAAAGAAAAGATGAAATGAAATACACATTGCAGAAGAACCCACAAAGAAAGTTGCAAATATTATTCCAGATCTACAATATTAGTGGCAATTAAAGCCACCCATCATCATCGGCAGTATACCCATCTACTAAATCGTCATTATTCAAAATTAAATTACACTAGCGGGTCTTATTTAAAGAAAATTGGTAGGCAAAAGGAGGAAAATGCAGATTAGAAAAATGAAATTGACCAAAAATCACCTGAGAAGTGAACATCAGTGGAGAGCCAGAAACCCTAGGGCTTGGTGGAGGAGAATGACCCATGAACTCACCATCATCACAATTATGCGCACCATCACCATCTTGAGCACCCATGTCATTACCGATGGACGAGTTGTCTCCACCGGCATCACCTTCTCTACCATTTATATTACCCATTTATTTGATAAAAAAAAATCAAGTAAGAATTAAACAAGCCCAACCTTTAGTATCGTCATATAAAGATTTAGAAAGAATAGGGAAAGATTGAATTTTTGTGGAAGCAAGTGACACTAAATCTGTATAACTACTAAAGATTGAATTGGGTTATGTCTAAAGAGAGATAATCAAGAACGAGTAGCATCAGAAGGAAAAAAATAATTCTTTCTTGGACTGTCTGGGATTAAATGTTGATCGATGGTACTGCACTCGGTGGAGAGAGAGAGAGAGAGGGAAGAAGAAGAAGAAGAAGAAGAAGAAGAAGAAGAGGGGGATTGGCTGAAGGAGAGGGTGAAAGGAGGGTCCGATCCAGTCCAGTGAGTTTGGAATCATGCGTACCTATGGCCCAATAGTAAAGGATTGTACTCGTTTCGTGGCGGTTGGTTGGGAATTACTATATCAATCTCATATCAGGAATTACTGAAAAAGCTTACTTTTCTTATTATTGTTTACATTCAGAGTTTCTTATATCATTTCTTGCCAAAATAATTTATAAACTCTCTTTCTAACAAACACCAACTTATTACATATTTTTATCAATTAAGTTTATAATACATATTTGAATATAACAATTTTGTTTTTGTAAAAGTCTAACATATAACACATAAAAATTAATACGAGGTCATACTCATACCGTACGTTATGTTTATTCTCAAATTAAATGTCAATAAATAAACATACAAATAAATTAATGATTAAAATATTTTATTTTTAAATTATATATAAGCCATCACTTTCCAACTAGAATCATCTGTGACTAAAAGTCAAAATTTTGATGCCTTACTTTTATTGAATTCACTATCTTTTCATTTATTTGTAAAGATAATAAGGTATATGTAAAATAAAAGTTGTTGTTAATGATTTACTCTTATTTTGTCAAAAATATTCATATTAAATAGAAAATCAAGAGATGTTTCGACTTATATTCCTACTAATGAAGGAAGAGTTCGTTTACATTGTGGAAGAAAATTATGTCTTCCACAATGGAATTGGAATCTGATAAGTGAGATTTCAAGTCAAAATTGTAATTAACTACGTTCGTTCAAGTTAAAAGAAGGCATGAAGGTTGTTATTATGAATACCTTTGGCTTTTGTAACTTAATACTTCCTAGTCCTACTATCAATTATAGAGGTATGCATCTTCCTTCTTAATTGTACATCTTATCTTATTCAACCAAGTTAATATATATGATATATGATATTAGAGCTTTAAGGTAACGTTATCGTTGTCTTCAAATCACTATCTACTGAATTTTTCACTTAGAAAATATTCTATCTTGTGGTTAAATTTTCATCCTTAGCTACAATATCGTATTTTATCACCAGCATCTTTAGAGAGTTATTTGTTTCGATGTTCATTCTACATGTAATAGGTATTGGGATATAACGTTGTTTTTTAGACTCATTTTGTTCCATTTCAATTTATTTTGATCAATCACAACTCCTACATACACAGTTGCATGCATGCGTACGATCATATATGACATGTGGATAAAGGCAAAACTCCATGTTTTTAGACTTGGGTCCATGTTGGATTGCTAAGGGTATATACATAAGAAATGAGTGGAATTTAGAGGGAGAAATACATAATTAAAAACTATGCGAATTGATTATCATTAAGAGTTTGTATCACAATTGGTGGATTCAGTTTGTAATATTTTGGTTTTTCAATTTCTTCATCAATCTTTGATTAATTACTGATTGCTTTGTCGCTTGCTTTCATTCCGAGATTATTAATTTTCTTTTGGGCATTGTTTACTGGTTGATATGTGAGAAATATTGTATTCCTACTAAATTTAAGGCTTGAAACTAGCATTAAATTACTAGCTTGTATCCAAGGAACTATTGATAACTCTCTTTGTATGTGTTTTTGTGATGTATTAAATTTTCAAAGTAATTAGTTTCTTGAACGATTGATTTCTCCGTCTATCGATATAAATTAAAAAATGCATTATTGTTCACATCGATATGATCTAGTTTCATGTTTTGCTTGCTATCTATCTATATATAATCAGGGTTAGTGGTGTTTGCATTACTCTTTGTGCCTAATTTAATGCCTACTCTACTTAAACATACAAACAATTACATCCCAATTAATACTTATCATCAACAAATTCAAAATTTTAATACTTCATAATCATATAAACTTCCAATACATATACATACATAACATAAATTAAATCTAAAAGTCATAACAAACAATCAAATAAAATATGTATACCTTCCTTCTTCTTTTTTTGCAGTGTGGAAATTGAAACAAAATTTGCTCTTATTTTAAATAAAACAATCATAGTTCATTTTTCTAAATCGGCCGAGTATTTTCATCAAATTATCTACCATTTCATTCGGTTACCAAAACCTCCTGATCAAAAACTATATATACCTTATGAATAAAATTAAAACACATATAAGTAATTGATTTATATTTGTAATTTAATTTCTTATATAAAATATAAAAATTAATTTGCAGATCGATGATGATGCTCTTTTTATCTAGTAAAGCATGCATGGCACCATTGATACAAGAAAATTAATACAAACCAACATTATATTATCTGTACAATCTCCTCCTCACTGAATATCACAACATTTTCCTTCCCCTATTCATTGTGATTAATGGATGTGAATGTTGTTTTCGTGCCAAGTGAATCCCATGGCCAACGGAGTATGTTCGAATTCCATCCCCTGGTGATGATGATGACAACTTTATCCGCCCAGCTTTGTGTTTACGGGCAGCAAAGGCTCGGTGGCAGAGAGATTTCTTGGGTACACCAACAATTCTAACAATGCATCTATTTTCCATGTTTGGAATTGCATGAAGATGGGAAGGAAGATCAATCAAGAAATCGCCATATGGGTCGGTTTTCCCTCTTACTTTACTTGTTTTCTTGTTAGCACGACAGGCAACAACCACTGATGCTCCTGTAAATACAATACAATATAAATGATGAATTAGTGAAGAGGAAATCTTTCATGATATATATATAGATAGATAGCCAGCCATGGAGTAGTACTAGTAAAACATATATACCAGGGATTGGATGCGAGTGAATTAGGGTGGCATCGGAAAAAGAATCACAGAGAAGCGTCCCAGCAACCACCACTGTGGAGAGCTTCTCTTCTCCATATCCGGCAAGACTTGTCAACTCATCACTTGTGTACACCAGCTCCATCAATGGCTTGTCAGCCATGGCTGCAGGAGTTCCCACCAGGAAAAAGAAGATCATCATCATCATCATCATCATGATGTTTGTGTTGAATTAGTTGTGGGGTTTGTTGATACGTAAGAGGTAGATAGTCACCCACAAAACTAACTTTGGAGCAAAGTAAATACGCAATGCCAAACGAAAAGCTACCGGCTGAATATATATATATATATATATATATATGTATTGCGATGGGATGGGATGGGAGTCTTTAATCAAAATTGCATTGTTACCCTTTAATATATATTGGTTTAACATCTATTATGACCTTTGACCAGTGCCTTCTACCCAATTTTGATGGGTAAACTTCCACACACACACATGTACAAAAAAAAATTAAATAAGAATAATATATAGTATATTACAAAATGGTCCCTGGTTTATGAAAATCTCTTATTTTCGTCTTTAAGTTTACAAAATTACAAGGTGAGTGTCCAATTTTTAAACGACTAATTATAAGGAGTAAGGAGTAGGGACCATTATTTAATTTTCATGTTTAATTAAGTAATGGACAGGGAAACCTTGATGATAGATATTCCTTGTAACACGAAAAGTTATATGGACAACAAGAGTTTTCATAAACCTAAACCTAAGGGACCATATCTGTAATTTACTCTAAAAATAGAAATAAAAAACGTGATAATATATATGAGAGAGAAAAGATGTTGGTCATGTACCACAAGGATGTTCTTTTTGTGCCCGTTTATATATATTTGTCACAAATAAATATGCTAGACTTTTAATTAATTAAAATTAAGAATATTTTTTGTCCTTGTTGCTGAAAATACTATCTGATAATGCTAATTTTATGGCATGTCTTAGGTTTGTTAAATTGTATGATGTGTTTAATGGGTTTTTTTAGTTTCATAATTTTAAATGATGACTACATCGAATCGAATCGAATCAAATCAAATGTGTGAACAAGATCGGAAAAAGAAAAGGCTATATAAGTGTATATGTATTTTTGTTTCTATCTTTTGATATATATATATATATATATATATATATATAAGTAATGGAATTAATTAATTAAAAGTAACTCCAATTAATGAGTTAATTAATATATATTAATTAAACCTTGTATGCGTGTATATATATATATATATATATCTATACTATATTATAAAGCATTTGGCTAAAACTCTTAAAAACTCTTAAACTCTTAAAACTCTTAAACCCGTTCATCCCTAAACAATTTCATCCCTATCCGATTTCATCCCATAACTGAATTCGTGTAACTAACTGCAGATAAA